TTCTTATTTATCTCCTCAGATGTTGCTGAGGTACTGAGCCAGTATTAATAATACGTTTTGATCATTTTGTCCATTGTTGAGTAATGGTATGAAAACGAATGTCTGCTTTTTGTTTTATACGTCAGTGAGCAGCTGCCCTTGCCATTCCTGTTTTATACTACCTCGTTTAAGAATTAATTTTATTGTCTTGTTGTTTTCCTAAACTCAGGGAACAAAGTTTAGTACATTTGAAAGTCATGTAGTGTTACATGCTGAACTGACAGGGTATCTTCTCAGTACTAAACGGTTGTAGAGTGTAATTGCCTATAGAATATGCTATGAATGTATGTCTGACATTGTGTGCTACTAGCTCAGATGTTTGTGCTGCCCTCCCCACAGAGTGGAAACCCCCTCTGCAGTTTCTCCTCAGGTCCTATAACGTCTGTTTTTTTTACAACAGACTCTTGTGTTTATTGACTTCTTCCTTTTGATTTGTGTAAAGATTCACACCAGAAGTGCTTGCAGTGTCATGTCGGTAGAGAAAAGCTTTATAATTGGCCTTAATGCGGGAAGTGTCCCTCAGATGCTGAAACCAAAGCCTAATGTTTCTGAGGGAGAAGCTCCACATGAGGAAGCAACACATGAAGAATGATTGTAGTAAAAGCAATGGAAGTGTTTAATCAGAGATGAAAGTGAAGAATTGAATGATCACCATGGAACGTTTTACTTTGAAAAAAATCTATATTTTTGTTAGAAGATAATGTACCACTGAGTACACGTTGTAGTTACTTTAGTTCCAAGTAGGTTTGTTTTGTTTTGCTGTAGAGTAGATAAAGATTAGCACTTGTCTGCCAAGTAGTTTTGTATTATCTGCCAATGTGCAGCGGTGACCGTGATGCTATAACCCAAAGAGTTGTTTGCTACCTGAGTTTATTTTAGTCTCTCAACTAATCTCTGGCAGAAGGTTACTGAGGAATGTGAAATAATCGAAAAACACATTATACCAAAGATGAAACGCGGCCTTTGAGATGAATTGAGGCGCTGCTCCTCAAACAAAGCCTTGCACCTTAGTGGCCTTGACCCACAACGAAAGGAGTTGCAGGTTAAAACTCTGAGGAAGTGCCAGCAGGATACGCAGGCACATAATGACGATGGAATGACAATTAGTAATCAATTTTTATGCACACGAGCCAAATTATCCTGTCGCAGAGTTCCTCGAAAGCTGTTGCAAACAGATGTCTGTACATTTTAGGTGAAAATTATAAGAGTTAAATACAGTATATTATATCGGTTAGAAGTCTGTGTTGCAACAGTGCAGTCCTGTGTAAACGTGCACCTGCTGATTTTCCGCCTTGTGAATGAGTAAAAAATAATTTACGAAATGATTTGAAAGATTGTGTTTGGGAGGATTCCACACATGGGACATACTTAAAGTAGTTATATAACAAGAAATACAAGTATTCAAATTTAATGCCTTTATATAGATCATTTTAATCTCTAAAACTGAATTTACTGCAGTTTGGAATTATTATATCATATATATCATTTTCAAATCATAATTATTATATCGTATATAAATATATAATTTTTAAATCATAATTATGAAATCATATACATCATTATGATTGTAGAAAAGTCAGCGGGTGCATAAACGTTTTCCCCCGTTTTTAATCAGCAGATTCTGCAGAGGATTCAATCAAGGGGGATTTTTGGGATGAAAAGTGACACAATCAGTTTTTTTGAAAAGCAAACAATGTAAAACAAAGAATTCTTTTTTTGAAGGTCACCGTTGCATATTGGCGAGAGATCATTTTGAAAGAATCCTGTCTTTGTGTGAAATGTTCTAGTACTCATTTTAGAAAGCATCAGGATGAAAATGTTACAGTTAATCATCATTTATTTCCACAAAGTCAAGTTTTCCTTTTTTTTAATCTGTTGTCTTTCAAGACAAAATGTTTTTATATATATATATTTCCATTTTAACTTGAACCCTATAATGTCTTCATATATCCTGTATTATCAGTTTTACGGGCTCAATCCAGAATCTTAAAACAGCACTATGTTATATACGGACCTACTTCTCAAAAACTGCTGCTGTTTAAGTTTTCAAGTAGTGATAATTACACACACATACAAACATACTGGAGTCATACTGGTTCTGAATTGGGCCTTCTGCAGCTCACGCAGGTGTGCAAGTGCTACCTCGGGTATTTATGTTTTGTACAGTCCTCATACAAAAGGACCTGGAAAGTTGGTCTGCTGTCTTTCATCTTGTGAATGGTGTTATGTTGGAATTATGTCCGAGTATGTGATAAAACTGAGAGTCTGGTCCGTGTATGATCTGACTCGCTCTTCGTTCTCCCTTTTGCAGTAATGTTGTGTTTAAATAATGTGAGGTGGAGAGCTGTGGGTCATTTAGTCAAACTCAGGGGAACCCACAGCTGCTCCTCCTCAAAGAGAAAGCAGGTTTAGAAAATGGAATGTACCTTTTTTTGTAATTATGATGTTTTCTGATATTTTCTGTTAATTGTTTTGATATATTTTGTCAGTTTTGTCTTTGTCAGGAAAATCACTCGCAGGTTGTTTTTTGCCAAAAATGTTTAGTTAGGAGATTTTAGACTTTGGTTAATTATGAAGAAGTCTGATTCTCACTTCAAATAAAAGTACAAAAATAGCAACTTGTCTACCGTTGTGTTTACTGAACGTGCTTTCAGTTGTCGTGCTGCTTAAAATCCAAATCCAAAGATGAAACAGCACTCTCTATTTTATCTTTAACATAATGTAACTGCAAATAGTCCAATGTTTAATCATTTGATCCACAATCCAACTTAACTTCCCTGAAGGGCCCTCGAGACAGGAAACCACGTATTTATGTACACGTATTTATTAAGTGACATTATTAGAACAATACAGCATGTTTGTCATCAGTTTTCAAAATGCCCCACAAAAAGAGCTAATAACAAACTGTATAATTCAGGTGATCACTCCAATCAATGGTGCTACTTTATACTTCTACTCTGTTGTTGAAGTATTCAGATCCTTTATTTAAGTAAAAGTACTAAAACCACACTGTAAAAATACTAATAGTAAAGGTCCTGCATTCAAAATATTGCTTACAAAAAGTATTTAAGTATAATCAGATAAATGCACTTGAAGTATCAAAAGTACTGAAAAATGGCGTGTGATGCTATTATGCTATTAAATATTATTATAGCATTATATTATTATTACTTATTGCTGTAATTGATTAAGGTGAAGCAGATGTTTAAACATATTGCATATGGCGTCAACTATGTTGTTGGGGAGACTGGGTATACTTTATATAACAAAACATCATCATATTTTATAAGCTCTTCATATGTTTTTATGTATGTTAATTTATAAAGTGTAAGACTAATGCTGTCAAATTATTAAAAGTACAATATTTCCTTCTGAGATTTAACTGCATAGAAGAAATAAAGTGGCATGAAAAGAAAGTAGCCTACTCAAGTAAAGAATAAATATCTCAAATTTGTACTTACATGTACAGCAGTAACATGTACAGAGTAAATTTTTCCACCACTGCTTCAGTTTACAGATCAGCTCATATGAGGCCTTTTTTTTTTAGATTTAACACAGTATGAAGTAGTTAAAATTAGCACAATCTTAACCAGCTACAACATCAAAAAGCTGCTCAAAGATTAATTGTATCAATAATAATGAAATAATAAGCTACACACTTTTTAAATTAGAAAAACTGAAGTAAGGGGCTGTTCGACATTTGTCTATTTTATTATTCTTAGATAAATTGTTTAATGTGGATATTTTTACTGTGTAATTTACAACTCATCAGATGAATCTGAATATCTCTGTCACTTTAAAACTGCATGATGTCTGTCAAGGTTCTCAGTCATCCTCACCTGAGGCCAAACCTGGACATCCGTTTAATCACTTCTCAGGAAACTATAAACAAACTTCACTTTTGGCCTCAGGTGACCAATGATGGTCTGTTAGAACTGCCAGAGGCACTAAGAACCAGCGCTATGGATCACTTTTATAATGAGCCCATAGAGGTTAAATAGCTGAGTTTCCCTACCTATCAGTCAGAAATGAAGAAACATCTTCTGCCAAATCCAGTTGCCCTTGATTTTAACCGTCCTTGGATAAAACTGCACACATACACTCACACACTCACACACACACACCTTGCAGACAACAATTTACAAAAATTGGCATAACACTGACCTCCACTGGTATTACATGTTAGCAGCAGAGAGAGAATTATTAAATCATTATGAAATTATTTTACCATCATTGTACAAAAAACAAACTAATAAGCCTAGCCTAACAAATAAATCAGTATACATAAATTATAAGGTCTTTATCATTTTGAAGGGTTATAAGTTCCATAATGTTTCTCATTTTGTAGTTGTGAGTCTTCGCCCTTCAAAGTTCCCCTCTCTCCATACAAAATAAGATAAATAAACCTTGTTTCATTAATGCGATAACAGATGATAACTATTTTTTGTGTATTTTATGTCAGCTCTCTGTTTACCACCATACATGTGGTGGTGTGTTGAACTTTGTTTATACAGTCTAATGTGCTGACAGGTGAGTCTCCACAGGTTGCACAGAAACGTCATATAATAAGACATTGTACACGCAGTATTTATAGTTACTGAAACCAACCAGACGAGCAACACAACTTTTTATTCAACCAACCAGTCTGTTAGCAGAGAGCCAGACGACACGCGCTCACAGCCCATAACAACGACGAGCACGTGCTTTGGACATTTGTACTTTCCAGATTTACTTTGCAAGACTTCTGCTAATGCTACAACACAGTACAAACCACACCGATGAGTTATTTTTGTTGTTGTTGTCTTTTTAATAATTCACTCTGTACGCGGGCTGCTTTGTCACACTTCCTTGTTTAGGTTTTTTTCGGAGCCGCAAGATTTGTTTCCAAACACTTTGCTCCACCCTTGTTGAGGCTGTTTGGGCACCGCGTTGGCTCATGGGTAATGTAGTTTCAAGAGTTCGGCGAAGCGGCGTGCGCTGCGTGTCCAGTTAAATCTCTTAAAAACTACATTTTCCGACTACAGTCGGCTTTGCAGTGTTACTGTGGGGAAGGCATACTGCAATAACTGTGGAGCTTCTTGTAAACAGCTGTCAAGTCGTTGGGCGCTGAACAACGGTCAGTTTAGTCATTTTCTTTCGTCTTTAAGAAGTTAGTGATGTTAAGGGGCTGCTAAAGATAACAAACATTGTCCAAATGGCATTAATTATATGTTCTGACGAAGCCCAGAGAGGTGACGTTAATAAGTATCCTGTTAAGTGAGTTAATTAGCTGCGAACCAACCGATAAATGTCTTTATTTAATGTTAACAGACGAAGCTAATGTCAGCTATAGATTACGGCTGCAGTGTTCAGCGCCCGTGTGTCTCTTGTTGAGACAAACATTGGCTGTTTCATCGTCAGGCCGCAGGAGCTGGCACCATCTCTGTTAGCTGTTATTATGGTCACCGCCAGAGACCGCTGTTTGTTTGTTTGTTTTATGTGCCTAGCTGACTAGCTACCATACAGTCCATGCTAGCTACTTAAGTATTTAAATGGCGAAGACAGATTGGTTTATGACCAGCTAGAGAAAAGCAGTGGTGGATGAAGTATTCAGACCTATTTCAGTACTAATAACTCACTGTAAAAATATTCTGTTAAAAGTACTGCGTTGCAGAATGAGAAATGCCCCTTTGACTGTTATACTATTATATGTTTTATATATATTATATTATTATTATTACTCATACATTAATCTAAAATCAGGATTTTACTGTTGTTAGTTGAGGTTGAACTATTCTGTGTCAGACTGCAATTAATGACTTTCTTTCATTATGGATTAATCTACTGATTAATTAATGCTCTCCATTAATCATTTGTAAAAATTCAGAAAATAGTTATCACAAAGAGCCCAAAGTGGCACTTTGATGTTTGGTTTGTTAGTCTAAACCTCAAAATGATTAAAAATACATTAAAATAATTTAAAGGTAGTTTAATTTATTACAACACATGTTTTTTAAACTCTTCATATGTTTTGTGTGTAAGAATCAAACTTTGGAAAGTAACTGAAGCTGTCAGTTAAATGTAGTGAAGTAAAAAGTACAATATTTCCTTCTGAGATGTAGTGGAGGAAAAGTAGAAAGTGACATGAATAGAAAATAATTAAGTAAAGTACATGTACCTCTAATTTGTACTTAAGTACTTGGGTAAATGTACTTAGTTATTGTCCACCACTGGAGAAAACTAATGGTGGGAATGAGTATGATTTATAGAACTGGACAGGTCATCATGTTGAGGCAGTGAATGAAACTAGCCATCCACACGGTAGCGCTTACAGTAACTAATACATTGCTAACATTTTTATTTTTTCTAAAGCAACCAGATGTGACTCATAGTCAATATAACTACTGCGTGGTGCTGTTTTTTTCATCAAAAACAAACCATAGGTTGTTTCCAGTACCTTCCTGTGAAGGGAACTTTTCAGTACTCCACATAGTGAAACCGCTCCAGGCTGCTTGGGGTTAGGTTTGTTTAAACCTCTTGGAAGAAAACAGTTCCTGCTCAGTCGTCAGATACATCAGTTGTCTTTTTGTGTACACCTGATTCAGAATTAGATGTTAGCATCATCATTTGTTGTCAGTGTGACAGCGTACCAAAAGGCTGAATCAGAGTCAACCCATTAATTTTAATCACATAAATATAGTAGTAGAAGTAGTCGCAGATGCTTTTATCAGTTTCCTGCTTAAACTTAAGATTCATCAGACAGTTTTTTAGCATATGATACACTGACCTACCGTATCTTTTTTAGCACAACATACTGTCTCCAGTGTTTTAACCTCCTTATCTCCTCTAGATCCCTGTATATTGCTGACGATTGACAGAAATGTCAGAGACGTCAAGTGATGCAGAGCTGTCCTGTGGATGGACCATTATTAGTAATGAGGTATAACTCCTTTCCCCTTATTCCTAATCACAGCTATTTGCATTGGTTGTTGTATAGATTTTGAATTTTTTTAGGTGGCATCTCAAATTAGGATTAATTTCTGTAAAGGAAAATTATAACATGTTTACCAAATCACAGGATTAGTGGAGTCTAGTGTCACATTTCTTTAAAAAGAGACACTCATACAATCAAACACATAGTTAATCACAACTTTCAGCAAATTGTTGAACATTTTGGCAATTTCTTCCCAACTCAATCCCTGAACTGTTTTTTCCTTTTTTAACTAATTTTTTTATCAGCAAATGAGCTGACCTTCGTAATAAGTTGAATAGAAACAAACTTTACAGTTTTATATGATAAAATGTTAATTTGATTGTAAACAGATACTTTTAGACATAGTAGACTTATGTGACAGACGGTACAAACGGCTTCTAAATATTACCACATTAGGTAAAATAGGTAATTCCTTAGAACGAACTGCAGCAACTTGCAAACTCCAGTTTGGATTTCAGTAATGAAATTTTTGCACACAAGTTCTACAAGTTCTAAAAAAAACAAGCCGAGTTGTGCAGCTCTCTCTCGATATATACATATATATCGAGAGAGAGAGAGAGAGAGTGATGCCAAGACTTAGACCAACTGATGTTTGTTCAGTCATAATGTCATATGTCAGTTATCCTTTATCGCAGGAAGCTTTTCTAATGTTTCTAATAAAACCAGTCACTTCAAATCCATTTTACAAAGAAGTACTTAATGTAGGTTTTCTTGCTGAAGACTGTACGTCTGCATGTATTGTTTGAATTATTGATACTGATCATATAATGCAGTAGTTATAAATATGAATGAATAAAGATGTATTTCTCCCATTTTTAATGTCTGTTCATTATGTTTACAGGGTTCAGATATCGAGACTTTGGGATCGGAGGTTGCGGTGGAATATGGAGCCGAGCTGTTAGAGCGTCCTCCGTTGGAGGAAGCAGAGCTGCAGGACACACAGGCTGCTGCATGTGCTGGTAAAAAGCCTCATGTTAGGGTTACAGTTTGACCTGGGTTTAACAGTAGCAGATTTATTGGTAATATTGACTGTGAATTGTTTTATTAGTGTGACACTATAAAATAAAAGCTTTTTTTGGTACATTTTCATGTGACTTTATAACCGTTTACTACTCTATAAAACTATTTTGATCAATTTGCCTTTTTAGTGATGTTTATTTTTTATTTGGACCTATTTTTATTACTTGCCCTTGTTTTTCATTTGGCACCTTGTTTTATTCGATCCTTGGAAAAATATTTGATTTGAAAAGAAATATTGATTATTATTAAAGCTGAAACAAATCGTTAATTGATGAGTCAGTTAAGAAAAAATCTGAAACTAACTTGTTAAACTTGTTAACTGAGTAAAAATACCCACAATTCACTGTTTTCAGTTTCTCAAATGTGATTTCCTGGTTTTCTAAGTCTTTTATGACATCACAACTATTCTTGGGGGAGCTTTGGGATTATTTTATTTTTTTTACAATTTTCTGGACTAAACAATGAATCGATTAATCAATAAAATAATTGACGGATTAATCAATTATCAAAACATTTGTCAGTTGTTGTTTTATGACTTTCATTGTTATACATATTTTAGTATATGTGGCTTTGTAATTATAACAAACATAATTCACATATTAATTTGTGTTCTCAGCGGAGTGTGTTGAAGAGACGGTTGCTGCTTCACTTGATGACACTTTGGGACAACAAACTATAGATGAGACGCTTTATTCCTCAGAGGTGAGAAGTCCTGGAAATACTCCAGAGCCACTTTGTTGCTGCTCCCGCTGCCTTCCATCTTCAATAATATACAGACAGGACAGATGAAAGAAAAACCTGAATAAAAGAGTGGAGAGAGTCACTGTTCAAATGCAGGTGCTTCAATGCACCATGGCTCACTGAATGTTTGGTGAGTTTTGAAATGACATAAATAAAATGCTTTGGCCTTTACAGTCTCCAGATCTCAACCCGGTTTCACACCTATGGAAAATTTTGGACCAAACTGTTAAGACAGTGCTCTCCATGACCATCTTCATAAGACCACATGATATAATAACTTTCATCTTCAAATCTATTTAGTGATCTCTGTGACGGTCCCTGATGCTGTATGTCCTTTAGTTTTTTCTGGATACTGTACTCGGGTCTCTCTTGATCTCAATGAGATAACAGAATTAAAAAAGGGTTGTTTATACAAATGAGGGAATGTCTTCTGGAGGAACGGTGTTCATCCCTCCAACAAATTTCAACAGACCTGGCAAGGAGCCCTGAAGCTGTTCTGGAGGCTCGTGGTGGCCTGACTCCACACGAAGACATTCATGTTGGTTTTTCCCTTTTTAATTTGTCAAATATCTTCTCCAGGCCGGAGACAACATCACAGGGAAAGAGCATGTGAATCTGTTGTCCTCCAGCGATCACTCGGACATTGTGACTCTCGGAGACTTGAAGGAGGAGGAGCACGCTGAGGCAGAAGAGGAGGCAGGAGCCAACGAGGAGTTTTACCTCGGCACCTCCTGCAGCAGCCAGTACGCCTTCACTGCTGCAGAGACTGGTAGGGCTGCAGCACCACACACACTCAATGACACACTCAACTGTCTTCATCGGCAAGCTGATTTGGTTTACACTCGCATCCAAAGAGTCACCATAGAGAGACACAACACTTCATCCCAAACACTTTCTTCCTCTTCCTGTTTTCTACGTCGCTAAAGCAGGTTTGATGCCGACTCACTGGAAACTTCCACAGAGTCTCGTGAATCTAAGCTACCATTTGAGAAGTCAGCTCACTGGAGGCCGTTCTTTTCCAGGTGGCCTGATTGAAACCGGAGTGAATCTAACGATGCCAAGCTTGCTCAGAAATGCACAGAGCTAATCCTGAACACATGTCGATGTGAGCCAGCTGGGCTTCTTATGAAAATGATGCAGTGTGGCTTCCTTCACTGCTTTTCCATGTGTGTGTGTTTATAGAAGGGCAATTAATATAAAAAATGTAGTGATGTTAAAATTACAGCAAGTTCCAGTCAGTCTAAGAGCAGTATACAATGAAATCTACGGGGGCGGTTTTTGCATCTGTGTGCTGTGAGCAGATTTAAGATGTGAATTTCTGTGAAGTGTTGCATTTTGTATTTCTGGTGGAGGTATAACAACAAATTATTGAGCAGATGCAACACAGAGAATTTAGTAGCACTCTCTTTAGTGGTTCGACATTTTGGGAAATATTCTTATTTGCTTTCTTGCTGAGAGTTAGATGAGAAGATTAACGCCACTCTCATGTCTGTACAGTGAGTGTGAAGGTACAGCTGGTTAGCTTAGCTTAGCACAAAGACTGAAATCAGGAGGGAACAGTTAGCCTGGCTATTTCCAAAGTTAAAGCTCTCTAATTAACACGTTTTATCTTATATGTTTAATCTGTACAAAAGCCAAAGTGTAAAAACAACACGTTTTGATGTTACGATGGTTTATGTGCCGGACAGTTTCTTGCCCTGGAATGAGAGTGACATCGATCTTCTCATCTGACTCTTGGCAAGAAAGCAAATTAACATACTTTTGGAAAACTATTCCCTTTTTTAATATTTTTTGAAAAACATTTCACAAACTCAAAAATGTATCAGTTATTTGTTAACAATATTGTTCAGCATTAGCAAATTAATTTATCTAAATCTATAATTTTCGTGATCTGCATGATTAACCTCACGCATGCTTTCTGAGCCTGTGATTTTAGTGTGAACCTCTTCTTTCTGTTCATTTCTCTCCACCTAACAAACACTGCGAGCGTAACTTTGTGCATTTTGCTGTAGGTTTCCCTGCGCAGCAGCCCGCAGTGACAAACTCGAGCAGCAGCGAGGACGAGGCAGGACGAAGCGCCAGTGCTGTTGTCCGGAGACGAAGGTTGAGGAAGAATACCACAAGCATTGTGACAGAGCCTGAGGATGAGGAGGAAGAGGAGGAGGCGGCGGCGGCGCTGGAGTCTGGCCAGAGTGAGGAGGAGGAGAAAGAAGACAATGGGCAGCAGGAGGAGCAGACAGAGGTTAGACCCGCCGCTGCTCCGGATGTCCGAACGAAAGGCCAGCGCAGCAGCATCCTCAACACGTGTATCCTTATTACCCTCGTCGTAGCCATCAGCATGGGCTTTGGACACTTCTATGGTAAGAAGTTCACTGCAGAACTGGAAAATTTTACAGTGGAAGATCAAATAATCCCACTGATGTTCAGGGCAGAAAATTGTTTTCTTCTTACACTTATAATCTTTTATGCAAGGACTGCTATTTTTCTCCTTTTATTATGTCTTATATATTGTTTTAAATCTTTAACCTGTTCCATCTTTATTATTGTTCTTGTTATTCCAGTCTGTCCACATGTGTGGAGTTTAGGTCAGGGATGTGGGGTTGTTGATTGTTTTCCTCACTAGCTGTTCTTCTTCTTCGATCTTTTGTTCCCCAAAACATAGACGCTCAGACTGTGTAAATGATCATGCAATTGTTTGCTCTGGGCCAGATGTTAGTGACTGTCTTAGGAGATAGAACCTTTTGTTGTAGTACTTCTCTGTTCATTCTCTTTTGTTAAATGAATTCTTCAAAGACAATGGTTTGTTGTAACTCAGTTATTTGCTCAACCTCTCACCAGGAATACAATTTCCACGACATTGACATGGCTCTCTTTCTCTCATGTGTGATATGTGACTTGTTTTTTTTTCTGTACTGGAGTGGCTTACTGCTGGAGATATTTGAAACAGATTTGTAGAACTGATTGTCTGTCAATCAGTCTCCGGTTGCAGCGTCAGAAATTAACTTTGTGTGACAATTATCTTCAGGTTCCTGGTCTTTATGACCAGAGTTTCTTTTCAACCAGTCTCTTTAGTTTGTTTGTAAGAGCAGGTGCGAGAGACATGTCAGCGGTTTTTCGGCTCTTATTGACTACAGTGCTTCTTACGGTTTATAAGTCTTGTCAAACCTGCCCCACTGTTTTTCCTCATGTTTCTGACCTTTTATAATATAGACATTATAGAGCACCATAGACTGCTGTTTCATCACATGTAGACTAGCCCCGACAATTCTTTCTAATGAAAAATGTGTTTGTGTTACAAATCTCACGTGCAGGCACAGTCCAGATTCAAGAAAGACAGAAAACTGTGAAAATCAGAGTGAACGAACGCAACGCTGTGAGAGATCTGCTTCACCGGCATTTTAGAGAACAACCTTTTACAAAGCAGGTCAGTGACAACTCGAGCAATAATTAATCACTTGTGGCAGAATGTACATGACAACAATCATTAACTCGTTCCTTGACTTTTGTGACTTCTTTCATGCATAATGCTTATTTTTGTATTTACTTGTTCAGTCAAATATAGAAACACTCTAATTAGGGATGCACCGAAGTGAAAATTCTTGGCCGAAGCCAAATATAATGAAAAACATTTGCCGAACAAGTATATTCACATTTTTCCCATTTATTTTGCCGCTTTTTACCATTGCATAAATTTGAATAATCAAAATGTGCTTTTTACTTAGTGTTTCCCACAGGATTTGGAGAGACTATGGTGGGGTGGTCCGAGGCCCAAGAGGGTCCTGTAAAATAAATTTACATGTGTCCATTTACTTATAAAACGTATTACATGTGTCCATTATACTTTCTGTGAATATAATCCAATTAATCTTATTTCCATCCTGTATAGAGACACCTTATTTTGAAAACTGTAGGTCACATGTGTATCCTCGCGCTAAATTCATCAAGTCTGACCCAATTTGATAAATAATGTCGCATGTTGTCCGCCTGTCAGCTCGCACTGGATTCACCATAAAAGCTTGAATACATGTGCACACCAAATTTAGGTGCGGCTAGCTTAATCGCGTTCTCAGAAACGAGTGACCGAAGACAAGGACAGTTTGTTGCCTTTTCTAAGAAGGAAAGGAGACAAGGACAAGGACTAGGAGACAATTCAGCAGAACAGTGTCTGCAAACAGCGATCTTTGCGTCTGTTTCGGACACTTTAAAATGCTTCCACACTGCCTGCATGTCAACGTAATTGTTCAGTAAAATTTATTCGGTCTTTTGACTTATTAGGCCGAACACTGAAAATGCTTTTTTGCTATTTTCTGCTGATTAATTTCGGTGGCCGAACATTCGGTGCATCCCTAATTCTAATGCAACAGCCCCATAATAAATCAATAATGCAGCCTACCTTTTTTGTATTGTAATTTGTAGTTGTTAACACTGTATCAGAGGTCATATTGTATTAATGTTATTGTTTTCGGTGTAAATGTATTGTTTTCTTGTTCGCCGATTACTCTGATGACTGGTGATTCATATTAACATAACGTCTTTCGTTTCCTCCTTTTCTCACTCAGGGTGACGTTGGTCTGGATGACGTGGATGAGCAAAAAGTTATTTCGCTGCTCACAGAGGTGATTGAGAAAATAAAGAGCGAGAATGAGGCGCTCAACATCAAACAGGCACACATTCAGGTAATGGGGAAGTCTGTGTACATCTTTGGTAACATAATACACATGCAAAATGAGTGCAAATGTTATGAGGAAATGTTATGAATCTCACATTTTTTTTACTATTCAAATGCAACAAGAAAAATGAAACAAAGAGGTTTTTGCGATTTGTTTTCGTCGTCAATAATCAGGACTCTTGTACGTCACTTTAAAAGGCACAACTTTCCCTCCTGTGTTCCTTCTTTTCCCATAAAGGCCCAGAGAGATGACTTGGAAATGTTGCTGAAACAGAAGGATGATGAGAGGACGAACATTATGTCTCAGCAGCAGAAACTGACTGCCGAGAACCTGCAGCTGAAAAGCTCCCTGGAACGTGAAGAAAGGTCCATGTCCGCCTTACAGGGGGAGCTGAGGAACCTGCGCTCTAAGATCAGAGATCTGGAGGCGATGGGAGCTGCTGCCGACTCGCTGCTGTCTGAAAACCAGAAGCTGAAAGACCAGCTGGAGGAGGAGAAAAGGCTAATCAGAAGCTTCCATGGACAGAGGGAATACATGATGGCTGAAGCACAGACACTGAGGAAGAAGCTCGACAAGGAGAGAGAGGTTACAGATGAACTGAGGAGAGCGTTAAATCTGCTGAGAAGTCGCATCCCTGGAGCTGGAAAGGAAGCCGGTACAGAGGCAGAAGAGCTGCAGTCACGTCTGAGTGAGGTGGAGAAGAGACTGAGCTTCGAGCAGCAGCGCTCTGACCTGTGGGAGAGGCTGTATGTGGAGACCAAAGAAGAAAGAGCCAAAGGAGACACAGAGTCCAAAGGTAAAAAAACAAAAGATGGCATGGCAGGCAAAGTGAAAGAGACATTTGACGCTGTGAAGAACTCCACCAAGGAGTTTGTCCATCACCACAAAGAGCAGATAAAGAAAGCAAAGGAAGCGGTAAAGGAGAACTTGAGAAAGTTCTCAGATTCCGTCAAATTAACTTTCCGACACTTCAAGGATTCGGCTTCGACCTTCATCAACAAAGCCAGTGGATTTTATAAAAAGAAACGTGACGAGAAGAATACAAAAGAGTCGTGGCAGCACAGATCCCACAAGCCTCATCAGAGACACCCACACAAATTTGACGACTTCTCTCAAAGCAGCCACAACACTCGAAAACCAGGACATAAAGTTCACGAAGATGATCAAAACACCCACAAGGCCAACTTGAAAGGGTGCTCCGGGGTTTTCGACTGCGCCTACCAGGAGTCCATGAGTCTCTTCAACAAAGCCATGGAGCCGATCAGAGCGGACGAATTCTACCAGCTGCTGCAGAGCTACCTGCAGCAAGAAGTCGACCACTTCCACCACTGGAAAGAACTGGAGACGTTCATCAACAGCTTCTTCCACAACGGGGTGTTCATCCACGACCGGATGCTGTTCACAGACTTTGTCAGCGGCGTGGAGGAGTATCTGACCGACATGCATGAGTATCACGGCCTCGATGACGATGTGTTCGAAGATCTTGATGACTACGTCTACCGGCACTTCTTTGGAGAGGCTTACACAAAAGGCCCAAAGTAAGTCTCAGGGGCTGGACTCACAAAGTGTCCTAAATGATGCTAAACGTTCCCAGGTAAGAGAGAGAAACTTTCACTGAGGAACTGTCGTGTAAAAAATTCAAGACTTGGGCCAGATAAGAAAGCTTGAACTTTTACCAACATTTTGATTATCAAAAAAATAGACACCAATTAGAATAGAAAAGTTTCAGATGAGATGGTCAGAGATCGGTGCAAAAGAGTTTATTCCAATACAGGACAGATAAATCCGTACAACATCCCTGCAGGTCGGAGGATGATGTCAACCTGTGGTGAGCGAACAGCGCCTTATATCCTCCTCCGTGTTGGCTGACCACTCCTCTCCTTATGGTGAACTTCTTATCCTCTGCTGCCGTCTGGTGGCCGCTTACACGTATTGTTTTACCAATTTAATATTGTTTTCCAGCAGTTTATTTATTACTGTGTTGCTGTCTTTCTATATTTTTCATTACCGGATAACAAGTTTTCCAATATATTTCAACTTCAGTCCCACCGTATTTTTTTTTAAAGTTATACATGCATAATTTGACACACAATTATATTTCTTAAAAAGTTAATACAAGAATAACGTTTAATGCTGTATCTTTCATTAATGCTTGGTTTCTTACAGTAATCCTGATATAGTGCTGGCTGTATCTGCCGTGTTTTTGCTCATCATCAATATGTCGTGAATTCGTTAAGCATCAATCTCTCTCGTCTTTTTGTTCACAGTTGGTGAATATTTAATGTACACCTAATGACCTGTTGAACAAATTGGGGTCTAAAAAGCATTTTGTTTTGATTAATAATTCTAAAAATATTTTCAGTTTTGCGGTGTCCAGGTGGCAGAGAGTTGTGCAACCTGACATCACCGCAGTTAATGAGTTGTGATTGGTTGCTGAGCTGATTTGATTCTAACTCGCCAACAAAATATGCTTCTAAAAGTTTAATATATCCTGCAGGTGCGTACAGGACGTACAGCTGACTGATGATGATGTGACTTGAGAAACCTCTCTTCTCTCAGACCTTTACAGATAAACAGTTCTTTGAAGAACTTTTCAGTCAAGTTAAGACTCGCGTCCCGTATTTTTCAGTTGTTCTTCGTAACTCGGTCATGAGAAACTTTTTTTTTTTGTGAACACGTTTTCTTCCATTATCGTACTGCAGCTTCCAGCTTGTACATACTTATGAGTTTTTAACACTAATATTCACATGTACGTTGTGTTTGAAATCACGCAGCGGGCCGTTTGAAAGACCCGACACAGACTCAAAGGAGTCGTCGAGGGTGAGGCATCAACAGCGAAAGCAGCAGAGAGCCAGATCTCGACCACACAGCGGATGCAAGTGGAAAAGATCAGGAAGAAGCGCAGACGGACACATGGCTGACGTCAAAATCGAACTGGGTCCTATGCCATTTGATCCCAAATACTGAAAATATCTCTGCTGGTTTAATATTATAGTTGTAGATTCTAATTTGGGTTGTATTTAGATACAATGTCTCCCTTTTTTGTAATTTTGCACAATGTTCACTTTGTAAAGCTACTGAACGTCCTTGGTCTGTTTTGTGTTTTTCTGAAGTAATCGTTATTAGGTTTGAGTGAAAGATGTGGCACACCTTACATCATCTGCACATCTGTAACACGAGAAGTAGGGAGTTCATTTAACATTCTACAAATGTGAAAATGAATTACATTATTTTAGTCTTGTATCTTAGAGACCTGATGATTTCCTACATCAGATACTCATCTCCAACCGCAGCACTCATGTTTAAAAAAAGTTTTAAAAAACATGTTTGGGAACCAAACTATTGTTCTGTGTTAAACAAAGACATGCTACGTTTGGGATGTTTCCGTGTACAGCACAGTAGATGTTTTAATTTGCTGCTACAAAGACCGTTTTGTGTGACGGGTTTTAATTTGCTTGCGTTAAAATGCAGTTTTCTTACATTCCATCTCGAGCTTGTTTTAACTGGACCTGGCAGGTATTATTTGTTTTATTTATGAAGAAAATGACTGAAAAATAATTCAACACCAAATTTAGTTGTGAATTATAAAAACAAAACACATCTGACAAATGATATGTCAAAATAACGTTTGAGTTTAAACTATTTATTTCAGTAGCAAATCCATTTAATGACATTCTCCTTAAGAAAATTGCCATTGTTCCAGTGTTTGTCAGTGCCTTTCATAAATAAAGATGCTTCCTCCAACTCTTCCCTCTGGAAAATGAGTATGAAATATCTCTGCCGTCCTCACAAAGTGATTCCCCTGCAAAAACACAGAGATTTCCTGCAACAACAACAAAAACACATTAGAGTTTAAACAGTTAAAGTTTTACACACCGAGTAATACCATTTGTCAACATCTTACCTTCTCCAAAACATCAAACAGAACCAGGTGGGTCGGTAGAGACGATTTGTATGGAAATGAAGTCCTGAGCCAGTGAAGAGGGTCGTCGTAGAACATGTCTGCTTCATCGACGTAACCCTCCTCTCCGAGATCCGGAGGACACTCGAGAAACCTCAACTTCATCGGGCAGTGGACGTGGCTACAAAGAGAGAGACCGTCAGCTGCTGCAGGTAGCACATCAGCATTCAGATCAGTTTGAGGTTGGTAGTAAGGACGAGTACGACACAAGGTGGACGTTCTAGTGTTATGTGGGATATTTTAACATCGGCCCAGATGAAAAAGTTATTTTAGTACAAACAAATCAGAATATATTCATATTCAGTCATGGATGACGTGTTATTTACATTTAGAATATAATAGCCTCTAACAACATACTCTGACATGTAGATCAATTGTAAGTCGCTTTGGATAAAAGCGTCAGCTAAATTAATAAATAATGTAAATGTAACTGAGCAGACAATTAAATCTGTGCAGCCACTTAAGTCAGTGCTGTTATAGTATCTGTATCGAAGCTGCTCTACTGTCCACAGATCAGAAAACTGTTCAGTCATTATTAAATACACAGAGCTAGTAGGGCTTTGCATGAAGCCTCAACAATAACCTAAATAATATATAGAGCATTAAGAATTGGAAATTATCAAAAGTTGGCACTGAATCTTGGCTGTTTTCACTTTGATCAGATATTTCTTGATATAAATCACTATTTTTATGTTGTTATTTTTTAATGGAGGCAAAGTTCTTGTAGAAAAGTTTTCCTCACAGAAAGGTAAAAACAAAAACAGGTGTTGCCACCAGTATTTCAAACTATACCCACCCCTATAAGCTAGTAATGTATATAATAATGCACTAATGTACAGATGACAAAACATTTTCACCTCATTCACACTTTAATAGCTGTTCTGGAGCTTTCGACTGTATCACATGGTCTTCATCAGGAGATTCAGTTTGTGCCATTACTGTGACATAAATTATGTGGTCAAAAGCTTCAATAACAGTCTGTGAAGGTTCTCAGTCATCCAGGTCATAGTTATCCAACGAAGGTTGAGGTCAAGGGCAACTGGGCTTGGTTGAAGATACTAGAAGACGTTTTGTCCGTCATCCAAGAGACTTCTTCAGTTCTGACTGACTGGTAGGGAAACTCAGCTATTTAACCTCTGTGATCGTTAGCTAGGATCGTCGATACCTCTGGTTTGTAAGTGCTCTTGGCTGTGGTAACGACAGTCGTCATGGTTGTTTGAGCCACCCATGGCCAAGTCTGAACAACCATCGTTGGCATCTTCACCTGAGGCCAAGAGGAAATGCTTGTTGAGTTTCCTGGGAAGTGATGAAAGGACAGCATTGTAAGTGGGGGATAAGTGGTGGCGTAGACCCCCTCCTCTATTCAGCGACGGCTTCTCAACCCAGGTGTAGATGGCTTCCTTGACACCTCTTTCAAACCCTCCATCTTCTCTGTCTAAAATGTGCACCTGTTGTGTTTGTTGAAAATCCTCCTGAGTTTCTCTGATACTCCAGACACGTATGGAATCACAATGTTGTTGCGTTTGACCTTCTTCTTCTCATCCCCTGTAGTTTTGTTCTTCTTCCTGGATTTTGTGGCTGTTTTCACAAAGGTCCATTTAGGGTATCCACGGGCTCTAAGTGCCCCCTTCAGGTGGTTCTGTTCCTTCCCTCTGGCTTTTGCACTTGTTGGTATGTTTTCCGCTCTGCGGTGCAGTGTTCTGATGACCCCTTGCTTGTGTTCCAGTGGGTAGTGGGAATCAAAAAGTAAGTATTGATCCGTGTGTGGGGGTTTCCTGGACACTCCAGTGTGCAGGCTCCTGTCCTTTTCAATGTGAACAGCACAGTCCAGGAAAGCTAAACTGTTGTTGTGGACATCTTTTCGTGTGAACTTAATGTTACTGTCCACGGAGTTGATGTGTTCTGAGAGGGCTTGCAATTCTTGGGTTTTAATTTTGACCCAAGTGTCATCGACATACAGTATCTGTACCAGCGGCTCGGTGCTGTTCCTCTGAAGGAGTTAAGGGCTTTACCCTCCACTTCTACCATGTAGATGTAAGCCACAATAGGTGACACTGGTGAACCCATGGCATAGCCATGCTTTTGTTCTGTAGACTCCTCCATTGTATTGGAAATAGGTGGTGTTTAAAACAGAGGCAGAGTCATTTACAGATCTGGTCAGGGCTGAGGCTGGTTCTGTTGTCCAGGGTGTTGTCTTGTAGTAGCCGTTTCCTTACCGATTCTATTGGCTCCATGGTGGGGATGCAGGTGAACAAAGAGGTCGCATCATAGGACACCATGGTTTCATCTGGGTCCGGTTTCAGTCCTCGAATTTTGTTTCAATGTGGTGGGGTGTGTTACCAACACACTAAGACAGATACTGGTACACCCCAAAGACCACACACCCAATGCAAGAAAAGCAATCTAGTGTATGCGATCCAGTGCAGTGAGGAATGCACAGAGCTGTACATTGCATGGTTCAACACAGAAGGGCCAACTCCTCAGGTCAAGACTCAGCAGCTTATTTACATCTGAAGGATAAAGGACACTTGTTTGAGGACCACCAGGTGCACATTTTAGACAGAGAAGATGGAGGGTTTGAAAGAGGTGTCAAGGAAGCCATCTACACCTGGGTTGAGAAGCCGTCGCTGAATAGAGGAGGGGGTCTACGCCACCACTTATCCCCCACTTACAATGCTGTCCTTTCATCACTTCCCAGGAAACTCAACAAGCATTTCCTCTTGGCCTCAGGTGAAGATACCAGAGGTATCGACGATCCTGGCTAACGATCACAGAGGTTAAATAGCTGAGTTTCCCTACCAGTCAGTCAGAACTGAAGAAGTCTCTTGGATGACGGACAAAACATCTTCTAGTATCTTCAACCAAGCCCAGTTGCCCTTGACCTCAACCTTCGTTGGACTTCAACAACAGCTACTAAATGGACCTTGATTTGAGATTGTTTTTACCAATCAAGAATAAACTTGAACCACAACAAGTGTAAGCATTTTACACAAGTTCCCTGATTTTATATTGTTTCCATCGTGAGCTCCTTCTCTTTGATAAGAACAACCTCATCCCCGTTCATGCAGCTCATCATCTGCAGACCGTCCACCCACGTGTGACAAATGTGTGTCCCGTACCTGTAAAAAGGCGTTGAGTGGCAGGGCATGAGGAGCAGGACGTCCGGCCGCGAGGGAGTGGAGGTGCTGCTGACGTCACAAAGTGTTTGGAGACGGCTCATGACATCCAGAGTGCCTCGCTGGTGGATCAGGCCGGTGTACAGCGCCGCAACCAGGTTACTCGCCAACAAGACGAACGCAGCAGCTCGTCGCCACGCTTTCAAGTTAGCCAAAGATATCCCTATAGCAGAAGAAGTATAAATACACACACCCAGCTGTTCTTTACCGCAAAGAAATTTTTCATGAGAAATTAAGGAACTTACCACAGAACACCATACAGAACGGCAACACCGGGTAGATGAACCTGAACTCCTTGTGAGGAAGCAAACTGGAGCAAAAGATTTAAACATGTCAGTTTGTCAGCCGAGCATAAAAACATCTTGACCAACCAGGACCTGCTCCTCAAAGTGCGTGAAGTGAAACACGGTGGCGGTTCTGACCACCAGTAGCACTATGGAAGAATGTTTTCATGAGAGACTTCCTGTTTTGTTTCATCTCACGTCCGCGACACACAGTCCTGCCAGTTGTTTCACACTACTCCACTGATGACAGGTGGCAGCAACGCATCAGTAAAAACATAAATGCACGAGCAAAGGCAGTAAGGAAGAAGACAGCTAGCAAGTCAACGATACAGGTTTCAAAATTATCCCCCACAAAATGAGGAAATAAATTCACGTGACACATTTGTTAGAGCTTCAAGGAAATGCACTTTGTGACTAACAATGAACGTAAACATAACTCTCTTTACAAGAAAACTCCACAGGGCATCTTTAAAAAATGAATTAATTAAGTATTAAAACGTATTTATGGAATTTATTTGGACATGTTTAGGAGAGCTCCAGAGGACTGAATTGTTAAGAGTAGATTTGAGATGACTAACAGCGTAGAAACAGATGTGAACACCTTCTGGAAAATGTTTTTGAATGACTGTATGAAATATTATTAGTTTGTTACCTGAAGCAACACGAGTCATTCAGAACAGGATAATGGACTATTTGCAGCTGCTGCTTTCTTGTAAGCTGCTATCTCCAGACACATGTTTGATAGGATGTTATACCACTTACCATCTGTTATTTTATCCCTATTAGATTACTGCTTATTTCTCACATTTATTGCCACTGGAGCCACAAAGAAAATCCACAATAATAGCATATCACTGAGAAAGTTTGAGGAATGTTGTTGTTGACAGTAAATAATGGCATGTTATACTTACTCTGAGCACAAATGTGATTAATCATGTGATCTCTTGACAGCTGCTCTTAAATGTTACTCCAACATTTCACAATTATGTCTTACTCTTCACTTTCAGCAATAACTCTTTCCCTCCTGAGTAGGGCTGGGCAATAAACCAATAGTGATAATTATCGCGATATAATATTCCTCAATAACAATATAACAAATGTTCAATATATCATCAACAAATGTTTGATTTAATTCATTTGAATCACTAATGAATTTGCATTTAATTTTTCTACTAAAATATTTATTTTGTTGAGGAAAAGGGACTGAAAAACGATTTACTAATCATATTTGTTGAAATTTTTTTTTAATCAGAATCATTCCACCTCAGATTTGTTAAGTGATCCACTGTTTGGCATCAAGTGTTTGTCACGTTCTGACCATAA